AGAGAGAGAGAGAGAGAGAGAGAGAGAGAGAGAGAGAGAGAGAGAGAGACTAACTCAGTGTCCTCGCATCAAGAGGAAGATTGGGGCTTGGGGACTGTTTCTGTTTTGTTTTACAGAAATAAAGAAGGAGCCCACCCACAAACACTGTGGGAGCCGGAATGACGGACAGAAATACCAAGAGCAGGAAAAGTGGTCTCAGGCTACACCTACACGGCTGTGTTCAGTGCCACTCCGAACTTCACAGGTCAGTGGCGAACTGGAAACTTTTGGGGGTACTGGAGAATGACCCCAGGGCCTTTGCACTAAGCTATTTCCCCAGCCCTTCCCCCTCTTTTTTTTGTACCAGGGATCAAACTCAGGACCTTGCAATTTCGAGGTAGGCAGCAACACCACTGAGTTAAATCCCCAGCCCCCCGCTTTTTTCATTTTTTAAGACAGAATCTTGCCATGTTGCTAAATTGTCCAACTTTCCATCCTCCTGCCTCAGCCTCCCAGAGGGCAAACTGAACTTCTGAAGAACTTGTAAAGGATGGTGAGGGGCCCAGATGCCTCCGTTAGGGAGCTGCAGAGGAATAGCCAGAGAAGGAAGAGAAGTCATGTGGATGACCCCGGGGAGGTGGTGAGCTCCCTGCACAGGGAGCATCCAAGCAGAGACAAGCAACCGCTTGACAAGGGAAGATTCCCATGCTGGTGAGGGAGCAGACCAGAGTCGTCGAGGCCTCTGTGCCCCAATTCCAGGGCTCCAGGGCTGGGTTCTAGGGCACGGGCTGGAGCACCATCCACACAGGATATCTGCACTTGCGTTCTGAGAGCCAAGTGGGCAGGACGTCTGCCCACCCGTGGCATGTGAGCGTGCGTGTGTGGATTCACCCCCGACTGGCTGACGGAAGGTCCACAGACTCCTGGGGCTGTGCTGTTTAGTTCCAATTTTTTGGCCCCACTTTGTGTTTTTGAGACAGGGTCTTCTATGTAGTTCAAGCTGGCCTGGAACTCGCAGAAATCCTCCTGCCTCAGCCTCCCAGGGGGACCCAGTGCTAGCTGGCTTGTTTTTCATATATACTCTTCTGCCCAGCCCGCTCTGAAAAGGGTGTCACAGCCCAGCACCTGAGAACGCCACTCTGTAAAGCAGACAAGAGGGTAGGCGAGGGTTCCCCAAGGAGCCCCCATGGGAGGAGGCCTGGAACCAGCCCTGGGAAGGACCACACCTAGGGAAGGGGGCCATCGCCATCGGAGGGACCACACCGGTGACAAACACGACCCGCATCTGCAGCGTCTTCTCAGAAACCTCACCCTGCCGAGCCCACCCAGTGCCACGGGCAGCCGCTTCCTGTTTCCCAGTGCTGGTGAGGCCACAGCTGGCACAGCCTGGGCAGATGCCCTCCCCGGAGCCCCCTGCTTCTGGCACAGGCCCTCAGGGGACAAAGGGGCCCAGCACACAGCGGCCTAATAGCCCACGCGGCTTGGCAGCTGTGACGTCGGAGGTTACAGGATGAAGCGGCCGTAATTACACCCTGCGCCCTGCAGCAAGCGTCCTCAGTCTCAGCAGGGACTCGGGCCAACCCTGAGCGGCCCCAGGCAGGGGTGCCCCTGGCGTCCGTCACCAGCCCATGAGGTCAGCGAGCCGGGCAGACAGATGGGGGACATGACGCGCCCCGCCCCAGGGACAGGAGCCACGGGCCTCAGCAGAAACATCCTGTGACTGATCAGTGCACAAACACATCATTAGCCCGCAAGCCCGGGCTGGCCTCTCTCAGCCAATACCTAACATGGTCCTCAGGGCCTGACACACAGTTCCCCGGCAGACTCCTTCTTTCTTTGTTTTGTTGTTGTTGTTGTTGTTGCTTTGTTTTGAGACAGAGTCTCACTAAGTAGTCCAGGCTGGCCTTGAACCCACAATGTAGCCCAGGCTGGCCTCAAACTCCCAGAGATTCTCCTGCCTCGGCCTCCCGAGTGCTGGGATGACAGGCATACACCAGCTATGTACCCATCTCTCCAGACCCACTTTGCTTCAAGTTCCCCGGCAGGGCAAACTCTCCAGAACCAGGACTTCACCCCATCTTCACACAGCCAGCAATTATTCCAGGGGCCCCAGGACGTGAAAGGGTCCTATACCACCCAGTGCACATGCAGAAACTGAGGTCCGGGAATGGGACCACTCTTCCTGGCCTCTGCCCTCTCCCTACACAGGGCCTCCGGAATGTAGCCCTCATGGAGAGTAAGCTGGACCTTGGCCAGGCTCCAGGCACCCACTACCAGGCAGGAACCCTGCAGTCAGGTCACGCCCTCATGCTTGTACAAAGGGTCTGAGGTCACCATCGGAGAAGCCCTGCTCGGAGCTCAGCCTGCAGATGTCCCACTCACCCTGCCGTCTGTGCACAGCAGCACAGGGGAACAGCGGAGGAAGCGTCCTCACTAGACCGGACCTCACCACGTTGCTGCTGGGAGCATTAAATGAGCTAATACATGAGCCAGGCATGGTGGGGCTCATCCATCAGCCCAGCATTGGGAAGGCTGACGCAGGAGGATCGCTGGGAGCTGGAGGCCAAGTCCTAGTCTCCAAACAAAACAAAAACAAGAAAGAACCCAGGGTCTTTTGAGAGCTGCAAACCATCCCGCCGTCTTGCAAATGGGAAGTGGAGGGGGGGACTCGCCCGAGGTCACACAGTCAGCTGAACACTCCTGAGACCCGATCGGGGGCCCTAACTGTGGAATCCTATACCACACCACGAGGCTGCAGGACTTGTCCACTGCCCTCCGCCTGTGCTTCAGGGAAACAGGCGGCTCTGTTTCCTCCCTCTTTTTATGTTGGTTGTTCTGTAGTTCAGGCTGGCCTGGAACTCACTTTGTAGTTGAACTCAAGGTGATCCTGCTGCCTCAGCCTCCCAGGTGCTGGCATAACAGCCGAGCACCATCACACCCCCTGTTCCCTCCGCCTTAAACTGCCCAGGACTCCTATTCAACCCACCCTCCGCTTGTCCAATGCTGTTAGCCCATGACACGTCCCTCTCCACTTGGGCTGTGTGGTTGGGGGACTTCTCCCATGGCGGCACTGGTGTGTGCATTGGTCCCATTTCACCCTCGTGGCCTGGAGGAGGTGGGAAGGGACAGGAGTCGCCTGACAGCGTCAGCTCCCCCAGGACAAGACTGGCCACACCCTCACCCTCTGCCTGCTCCATGTCTGACTCCCCACAACCCTGCTAAGCCAAAATGTTCATTGTTCTAAAACAGAAGAAGAGTGAGAAAAAGCAAATCTTCCCAGGCTCTCTGTGGTGAATCCTCCCTCCCAGGGATGGGGGAGGTGGAATGCGGCTTCCTGTGGAGGCCAGAGCAGGCTGTAATTACCTTGACCAGAGAGGCAGCCCAACAGGGAGAACATCCCAGGGCTTTTATATTGGTGGGGGGGTGCATTTAGACAGGGTCTCTCTATGTAGCCCAAGCTGGCTTTGAACTCGATCAGTCCTGCCTCAGCCTCCTGAGCCTGGGATTATAGCAGTGCAGCGCTCACCCCACTCCCAGCACTTTCCATCACAGCTCCTCCTCAGCAGCACCCAGGGGACCAGCACCGCTAGCAATGGACCGGCCTGCATCGAAGCTCACTGGAAGCACTTTCCCAGTTCCACATCCCAAAACCAAGCGAGGCCCTGAAGCTGAGGCTGCCAGCCCCCCTGTGGTCGGGATCTGGGACGCAAATTGTACTCCTGGCTCCCAGCGTCTCCTGGCGGCTGCCCGCCCCTCTCGCTCCTATTTCTGCACATCCGCATAGACTTCGGCCTGCACCTCCACACCCTCCTCCACCGAGCAGGATGGACCAGCAGGGTCCCCAGCCTGGGGAGAAGCCCCGGGCCTTCTGCGGGTCGCATGGAACCCTCGGGCCCACCC